CATGATCGATTTTTTATATGTAGGAAGAGGTTGTTCTGTGTGATGTAAAAGGGCTGCTTCCATTGTCAGTCGTGGGGGGTCATCTAATATGTCTTGTATTTCGTGTTCTATGTTCCTCCAATATGTTTGAATTTTCGAGCAGTCCCACCAGATGTGCCGTATTGATCCAGGACCTTCGTTACATCTCCAGCAGGTGTTCGGGATAGTCGGAATGTATCGGCTGAGTAGGGATGGTGTGCGATACCAATGCGCTAGCAGCTTGTAGTTGACCTCCTGGAAGTGGGAGCTAGAGGAGCTCTTGTGTTGAAGTATCAAATTTTTTTCCCATTGGTCGTCCGTGAAGGATTTAGTTGTCCATTCTTCCCATTGGCGCTTGTATAGGTTGTTTTTTGCGCTATTTCCCGTGATTAGGGTTTGGTATATCGCCGATACTCTCCCGTCTGCCTCCGGTGCCTGTGAGCACAGATTCTCGTACCACGTAAGGTCTCTGTGGATTTTAGCCCTATGTGGCAGGTTATGGTAGTAGTGCTTCAACTGGGTGTAATGGAATTGGTGCAGGGGCGTGATCGGTCTTCCTTCTGCTATTTCTCCTAGCGGTTTCACTCCTGTGTTATTAAGCATAATGTGAATGGGTATGTATCCCTCTTGGCTGTCTATCGGCCAAGCCGACGGCGCGAGTCCATCGCCCAAGTGTGGGTTATGTGTTATGCGGATTAGCGGGCTCGGTTTGGGCGATATCTGTGGTTCCTTTCTCAGTATGCTCCAGTGCTTCAGTGTCTGTGTAACTGGAGAGTCCTCTCCCAGAATTGTTTGTGCTTCCGTTTCTTTGTGCCACATCAGCGTGTGCAGTCGATTGTCTGTGGTGTCTCTCCATAACGTCACCCACCTTTTGTGGGGCAAAGCTGTATGTAGTTCCCTCAACCTCTGTAGTACTGTGGCTTGGTGGTATCGTTTGACATCTGGTAGCGCCAGCCCTCCCCAACGTCTCGGAAGGCAGAGCTTTTCGTATCTAATTCGTGCCCTGTCCCCTCTCCACACGTATTTTATGAGCGCCGTCTTGAGTGTTGCGAAAAACGATTGTGGTATCGTTTGTGGTGCTGTATGAAAAAGATACAGGATCCTGGGGAGAATATTCATTTTTATAACCGCTATCCTCCCCAACTATGATATGTGCGCATAGTTCCATCTCTTTAAATCTCCAAGGATGGTGGTTAGAAGGGGTGTGTAGTTGTGCGCGTAGATGTCCTTTACGTCATGTGTGATCCATAGTCCCAAGTATTTCATTCGTTCATGGCACCAGTGAAATGGGAGTCCTCGTTCCAGTTGTGTGCATTCGGTCTTGGGTACGGAAACGTTAAGAATTTCACACTTTGTCAGGTTGAGTTTTAGCCCCGAGAGGCGCCCATAGTTTTCGAATTCGGTCAGTAACTGTGGTATGGACTCTACTGGATTCTTAAGGAAAAACAGCATATCGTCTGCGTATGCAGCGACTTTGTGTTCTTGCGTTTTGTAGCTGAGCCCTGTGATCCCTTGGTTATTCCGAATGTGGTCCAGGAGCGGCTCCAGGGTCAGGGCAAATATGATCGGGGATAGCGGGCATCCCTGTCTTGTGCTGTTCCGTATATCAAAGCTATCTGTGAGAGCCCCATTCACCCTGACCCTGGCATTCGGCTGGTTGTATAGCGCGGTTATCCAAGTGAGTAATCCATGCCCCATGCCCATCTTGCGTAGTGTCTCCATCATGAAGTTCCAGTCCACTCTGTCGAATGCTTTCTCCGCATCTGTGGAGAGTAGAAGTAGCTTCGTCTTTGTTTGTTTGGCTAGGTGTTGTACTGCGAATAGTCTGAGGGTGCAGTCCCTGGCCTCTCTCCCTGGTATAAAACCGGTCTGGTCTGGATGTACTAGTTTCGTCAGGTGGGTCTGGAGTCTTGTAGCTAGCACTTTGGCGAACAACTTTACGTCGGTGTTAAGGAGTGATATTGGGCGGTAGTTTCCGACGTGCTCCGTGTTCTTACCCGGCTTTGGGATGACCGTGATGATTGCTGCTAAGGTTTCCCTGTTGAAGGTGTGTCCTTCGTGTATGCTGTTTAATGCCTTGGTTAGGTGGGGTATGAGAATGTTTCCGAATTTCTTAAGGTATTCTATCGGGAAACCATCCGGTCCTGGCGCTTTCCCCGTTTTTGCTGCCTTCAGTGCCTGTTTGAGTTCCTCTTCGGTGATCGGCCTCTCTAGGTCCTCTGCTTCCTCTGGTGTGAGGGTATCCGGTTGAAAGCCTCCTAAATAGTCTGCCGTTTCTGCCTTCCTCGTGGTTTGGGAAATTCTGTCTTCATCTCCACGTGTATTGTATAGCTGTGTGTAGAACCGTTGGAATTCGCTCGCGATTTCTTCTGGAAATTGAGTTAATGTGCCCTGTGTGGTGCGCAGTGCGTGTACCTGTGCCCTGCTTTGTGTTCCTCTCAGCATCCTTGCTAGCAATTTACCCCCCTTGTTGGCGTGCATGTAGAAGAATGCTCGTGTTCTTCGGATCGTTCTGGCGTGTTTGCTCTCAATAAGTTCTGAGAGTTGCCGTCTGTTTGACATTAGGTCCCTGTAGGTCTGGTCTTGTTGGTCTCGTTTGTGGGCCATTTCTAGGTCAGATATCTTCTGCGTGAGGTCCGCTAACTGTTGTCCGATTTCCTTTTTCCGTCGGGAGGCCATACGAATTAAGTGTCCTCTGATGACACTTTTGTGTGCTTCCCATATTGTCATATCTGAAACCTCCTCGGTGTTATTCTCCGCAAAGTATTGTTGCAAGTGTTCTTCGAGTTGTGTCTTGAGTATCTTGTCCATCAGGAGCGAGTCATTCAGCCGCCATGCGGTTCTAGTTGGTCTGAACATGGGCGATGTCATCGTGACTTGTGCTGCACTGTGATCTGACCACGGTGTAGTGTGTATGTCTGCCCTCTGCATGTACGTGAGACCTTCTTGTTGGATGAATACGTAGTCTATTCGGGAGTATCTTTTGTGTATCGTGGAGTAGTACGCATAATCCCGGTCGTCTGGGTGTCGTGCTCTCCATGAGTCCACCAGACGTAGGTCCCGGAGTGCTTTGTGTACCGTCCTTATCGCCGAGTGTGGAATGCTACTCCGTCCCGTGGAGGTGTCGATGAGGGGGTCTAGTGGGATGTTGAAGTCCCCTCCGAATACGAGGATCCCCTCAGTGAACCGTGCTAGCTTCGTGAGTGTTCGTCTGATGAAGCTAGCTTGTCCGGTGTTGGGAGTGTAGATTGTGGCGAAAGTGTACATTTTTAGTGCTATTTCTCCCTTAATGAAGAGGTATCTGCCTCCTTCATCAATCTTTGATTCCCTTAGGGTAAATTGCAGGTGTGTCGCCAGGAGTATCGCTGTTCCCGCCTTGCGAGATGTCGGATGATTGCTATAGTAGTTCACGGGGTAGTTTTTGTCCTTGAGTAGTGCGTTTGATTCCACTCTGAGGTGAGTTTCCTGTAGGAGGGCGACGGAGATCTGTTGTCTCTTAAGGCTTCGTAGTAAGTGAGATCTCTTTTCCGGGGTGTTGAGACCTCTGCAGTTTTGCGACCTAACCACTAATGGCGCTGGGGTGTAAGCCATGTGTGAGCTCTCGGTATCCGTGTCAGGTACCGCTATTCAGGATCAATCCGCTTTCCGACGGATCGGGCTCTGCTCGCTGTGGCCAGGAAGGTCCGGGCGCGCCCCAACGGGCTGTCGCTTAGGTAGGTGAGGGAAGAGGGAAGGAAGGGGAAGGGAAGAGGAAGAGAAAAAAAAAGAAAAGAAAAAGGGGGGGGAGGGGGGGTAGTTGTGGTGAGGCAGGTGTCAGTAAAGTACTCTAGAGCAAGGTGCCCAGGTGTGTCGTGTGTGGCTCTTTCCTCTAGGTGTGTCAGTGTTTAGGTGTATCTTCTGCTCGCTGCCTTGTGTAGTTCGTGTGAGGTGTGTAATGGTGTTGAGTATTATGTGATACCCCAGTGTGGGGTGACTCCGTGTAACTGATCGGGCAATCAGTGCCGTACCACCGGTTTACGGTCCCGGCTGGGCGTCGGCAGTGGCTCCCGCAGTAGGTTGGTTTACACGGGTATTGGTCGAGTAGTGGCCTAGGGCCTGGAGAAGTGTGTTGTTACCGTCGTTTCCTAACGTGTGGTATGTGGTTTTAACTGTCTGAGCCAGGAGACTGTTTGTCCCCACGATGTTAGTAGCGCATGCAGTGCACTTCGCTCTAGTTCATGTTTGGCTAATGTATATCCCTACTGATGGGTCGGTAAGTTGGCGTGGCCAGTGTGGTTGATGGACCTCTTGTCTCTCCGTCAATAGTGCTGGTGGTCATCCGTGTCTGTTCTGTCTGTCGGTTGTCATGGTTATGGTATTCGCCGAATGTATGGCTTAATTCCAATGGGTTTCCCAGTCAGTACAGGAGTGTCTCATCTTATGTTCGGGGTGGGCGTGTGTAGGCCTCGTAGTGTGCTCTGTTGGTTTTGGCTGCGATGTGGGAGAGGGTCACAAGTCCCCAGGGAGTCTACTACCCCCTCCTCAACCTTGGGTTGGGGCCTCCTTCTTGTCTCTACACTTCCCCCTAATCTGGGCTGCAGTCTGCTATGTGGGGATCCCTAGGTTAGCTCGTCAAGCGCCTTCTCTCGGCTTAGTGTTGTACACTTCGCTCTCTACATGCCTCCCATGTCTATCTTGCACCGCCCTCCTCTCTTTTCTTCCCCTGCTCCCCCCTTCCCACTTGGTACCTGCTTCTACTTCATCTGTTGTTTCCTTTTACTGTCGCATCAATAGCGGTGGGTGCATACAACCTGTTGTAGGTGTGGTTTTCCCCCCTTTCCCCCCCTCTCCTCCTCTTCTCCCTTCTCTTTCTCTTTTTCTCTCTCCCCCCCTTCCCTCCCTCCCTCCCCTAATTACAAGTTTGGAAATGTGCATTTGGTTGTGTGCCTGAGCTGGTCCCCAGTTTCTCCCTCCTCCTTCCCCTACCTCCGCCCTCGTCATCGTAAGGAGCTACCCCCACAGTGGTATATCAAGCATATAAGTCATAGGATCATTCCTTACTCCCACTTCAAACCTATATCCCCATGATCTGTCCATATATGTATCAAATCCATGTGAGTTAGGTCCAGTAGGCATCGATACCATGTACTCAGTTCAGGTGGTGCATCTGTGGCATCCTGAGAGATGCCCCCTACCTCCCTCCAGTGCCCCCCACCCCAAGTTATGACCTCGTCTGAGGATGCCTTCCGGGAGTAAAGCGGTAGTTGTGATCCCCTTTATGTTCAAACCATTCCCTGCGTCGCTGCCCCCGAATAATGAGTCCCCACCTGTCAGTCCCCACAACTCTAGATTATGTGCTCGGCGTCGTCGTCCATAAGTTGTCAAGCGAGACAGTATTTGGTGCGTTGTGTGTCAAAGTCCATAGTCCTGTCGGAGATCAATAGTTATTAGTACTTATCTGAAAGTCTCGTGAATGTGCTGGCTGTCGGTGACCATCTTCACATCTCCTGTTGTCCCCTTACTGCCGTGTGCCATTTCGGGTACGGGAGGCGTTAAACTCCAGGTTGTACTGGGTGTTGCGCCGGGTTGAGAGGTCAGCGGTCTGGCCGTCTGAGCGGCGAGTCTTCCCTGCGCCGCCTCGGTGCTCTCGGGGCTGGCTGGTTGGGTCTCTGTTCCAGCGGGTTCAGGATCCAGTCCGTAACCTCCGTGCGTGGTAGGCCCATGCTTAGAAGAAAAGCCGGTACCTCATCCGGCCAACGTAAAGGCCGCCACTCATTATGATGTCTGGCCAGTAAGCAGAAAGGGAATCCCCACTTATACGGTATGTTGCGACTGCGTAGCAGTTGTGTCACTGGTCTCAGCGCTCTGCGGGCCTCAAGTGTGAGAGGGGAGAGATCTTGGTATAGGGCTACCTCTGCTCCTTGGAACCGCCATGTTGGTTTCAGTCTGGCTTTGTTCATGATCATCTCCTTTACCCTGTATTCATGGAGACAGCATATGACATCTCTGGGTGTATTGTCTGCGTTGCGCGGTCTCAGGGCTCTGTGTGCGCGGTCAAAGTCAATGCGCGGCGGCGAGTCCGGGCCTAGGATTTCCCTGAACAGGGCAGTCAGCGTAGCCTGAACATCCTCTTCTCCTGCTGCTTCTGGTAGGTTTCGGACTCTGATGTTCGACCTTCGGCCCCTATTATCTAGGTCCTCAGTCTGCCTCCTTAATTGTAACAGCATGTTGCCTTGCCTTGTTACTGCAGCATCAGTGGCATCCAGTCTGCTACTTGCTGTAAGTTGAGTTGCTTCCAGGGTTTTTTATGCGTCCATCTTGTGCTACTATGTCCCTCTGAATTGTAGCTACCTCCGATCTAATTGCCTCATGGAGCGTGGCTGATAGTGCCTGCAGGTCAGCTTTCGTGACCATGGCTCCCGTTAGGGCTCTGATGTCGGCCCGAATGTCCGACAGTGAGGGTTCCTGCGTGTTGGGCGGCTGTGCTGAGGTCCGGTCGTCGGCCATTTTGTGGCCTGTGGCGGTACGCGGCTGTCTGCTCGGCGTGTGGAGGTATCCGTCAAGCGGTCCTTTTTCCGTAGCCCCCTGTGATCCCCTCGTGGTTTGATGGGAATCAGACCTCTTGGCACGACCCATCAGGTAGGTTTCTGTGCCCTAGATGCGGGTTTTGTGCGCTAGTTGTGGCTATGTGGGTCAGAGCTCCTCAGTTAGGCGGCCATCTCCATCGGCGTTCAGGCCCCCCCCCCTCAGAAATATTTTTTTTGATAATGTTTACTCTTTTTTATTTTATTACAATTTTTTTAGTTAATGAGTTTTTACTGAGGTCAAATTGTATATATTGTGTTCAGACATTTATATTTGTATACAACTCCAGTAAAGTCATATTTCATTTTTATATTTTAGTTTTTTAAAAAAACACACCAAAACAAAACTGGCAGATGCCTGTATCTTAAAATAAAAAAGTTAATTATTTCAAGTATCTTAAAATAATAAAATAAATGTGTGAAGAGTTACAAGTATGACTGTACTAGTGTTAGTCATCATGGCTCCATCTGATGCTTTAGTAACCAGATGGTGATTTATTAGAGGCCAATCTGTAAAACCTTTTCTTTTTCTTTTTTATCAGCACAACAGGTTATGCAGAACAATGCACCATGCACCCTTAAAGGGAAAGTAAAGCCTTTTTTCTTTACATATAAGATGACGGAAGCCAGGCAGACTTCTCAATGTACTCGATTTGTTTTTGTTTTTTGTGTTTTTTTAAAATAACAATATCACTACCAAAACAGAGAAGCTTACTCTGACTTGAGAGAAAGAGCCTACAGTCTCAATGGAGTCAAGTCAGCGTGCACCATAATTGTGTTTGAATAAGCTGTCAATACATGGTATATCATATTTAAGTTAAGCTTAAAGGAACACTCTAAGAACTTTTCAATTCTTTGTCATTTATGAGCTAAATCACTTTTCTTATGCAGTCCTAGTCATACTTCTCCTAGCTGTGAATCAGCTTCCATGAAAAAAGGTTTCATTTTCACAGTACAGTGTGTTTAAACAATATTGTTCATATCTCTTGTTCTGCTCTTTTCAAGTTTTCAAACACAAGAGGCTGCTGTATGACCTAGCAGGCAGTTAACAAAGGAAGCGATAAGAAAATCTAAACCATTGAATGAGGAAAGCTAAGAAATTTAGACTTCTTTTTCAGGAACTGTGTTGTCATATGAATTCATTACCTATTAAGAAGCAACTAAGTGGTATTAGTAATTAGTACTAAATTAGTATATATTTATATTTTGTGTAGTAATGAAAATGATCTGATTCAACATTTCAAATAATTTATTATTTTTGGGAAGATTAGTATCTGTATATTTAAACTCTGTGTCTGCAGCTCAGATTGAAAATATGCAATAATTCTTATGGTATAAATCATGTACATATTGATACATTTGTATGTTGAAATTCAGGTACCAATTAAAACCTGTTATCTTGTAAATACCTGTAGAACTTGCTTAGTGCAGCGGTTACTAAAATTTTCCAAATATTTCTTTTGAATATTTTTGTTTTTTGTCAATCTTTATGTTTTGTGTGCTGGAAAATACCAAATATCTTGTAACACCATCACAGCAATTAAAAGGACAACAATTAACATAATAAGACATAGAGCATAATCGCAAAAACAATAGCTGATATAACGTGTTGTAGCATTGTGATGAGATAGCACATTTTAGAGGGTAATGTGATAGTAGCGTTGAGTGATCATGTCTTAGTGTTCAGGAACAATAAATCTTTTATTTACATGCAGGCAGCGAACAGGCAATAACGAATAATCTAAAAAGAAAGCCAAGTCAGTCTTAGGCAACAGAAAGCAACGAACTGGCACTGCCCCCAGGGAGAGGTAGTGTTTTTTACATGGAGTATGACTTTGGTGGACTTTGATAGACATGTAGTATCCACTGGTGAAGTCCAGCCCCCTAGTGCTGCAGACAATACAAAAGGACCCATGTTCAAATCCAGCCAAGCCGTGAGGAGTGATGTCCACGGCACAGTGCAAACCGTGACAGCCTGTTGACTGGGAATTGTACCCCCAAAACAGCCTGAAAGTCCAGAGCTCTTGCACCGTGCGACTGATCTGTTTTTAAGATCAGGCTCCACTCTTTTGCATACTTGTTGATATTGTTTTTATTGGTTTGTTCTAAGTAAATAATTTTATACCAATATAGTGAGATGTTTGAAGATCAGGCTCCACCCTCTCTTTTGCATACTTGTTGATATTGTTTTTATTAGTTTGTTATTTTATACCAATAGAGTGAAATATACTTATTTTTAATCACCATTTTTTATGCTTTTGCATATTGTCAGTTTGCAACTCCAAGCTTAGAAAGTTTAATTGCTGAGTGGAAACAAATTTTGTTCGCAACCGTTTGTGGAAACAGTTGGTTATTATTAGAAATTGTCTAAGTAATTGATACTTTGTTGAAGGCAATACTTCTTTATTGCAGGAGATACCCAGTCATATTATGGTGAAGAATATTAAATGTTAATTCAATATGTTATGTTGAGTTATTGCATTCGTTGATGATAAATTCTTTGAACCAGTCACTAAATTGCTCATCCAGAATTTATTGTCTACTATAACTATATTCACAATTTTCTTTGTTACTTGTTGATTATGTTACCATTGTATAGGTTGTAAAATGTTGAGTGCCGCTGGGCTGAGAGCAGTCAGCTGATACTCCGAGCCAATTAGTAACTACCCATTCACAAGACTGGCTTGAAAGAGGTATGAGATTTCAGAAGGCAGATGCCACCTGGGGGGAGTTGAGATCAGTGATGAAGGCTCAGTTTTTAATCCCTGGGGGTAAGAGTGTGCTCTGGGACCACCTGGCACCATAACAACTTAATTGAGCTGAAGTTGATATGGTGCTCAACGTATTCCTTTAAGTGCTGTATTTTGACTCATGAATATATTACCTCATATAATATAAGTTACAGGTGTGATGGAGCTCCCATACTCCGACAGCTCAGCCAAGTCTACTTCTTGGCCACGATCAGGGATCTTGGAATACTTCCACTGAAGCATCACTGGGGTTGCTGAGAGCTTCTTACACCCTTGACCAGGCTACATCTCTCTCCTCTCTTTGCCTCTTCAGCTCCACTCCAAGGCATTTATCGAAACCTGTGCCTAGACTGTGATCAGCTACGCCTTTATAAAGGCACTTGTGTCTCTCAGGCTTAGCCTTCTTTTTAATTTGTCCTGGGATACAGAGACCAAGCAGCGAGCCAACAGGTCAGAAGACTGTGTTACTGTGATCCCTGAATAAATCAATGAGGACACACAGTTCCAAAGGAAACTGACACACTCAGCTTTATTTTTAACTCAGGACTAGCCCATATATAAATTTGCTGTGATAATCTCAATACAATACTAATAACCAAATCATATTAGCAAACATACAGGAACTTATAATAACATAATAACATATTCATAAAGGGGTGGTGGGGAAGACAATAATTAACATGAAATATCTCTACTGCCTGCAGAAATATGCAAATCTACCTGATTATTCAAATTACACAGTCTTGCTATTCAGGTAATGCATATAGCTATTTCAGGATCCCTAGAACCAACAGATGGATGGTGCTGTACAGGCTCCAAAGCCAAATCCACCTAGTTGGTTGAAAATAAATCAGGACAGGAGAGCACACAAACATTTAACAATGAACAATTTAGTGCCTAACTTATGCTCCCAATAATGGTGACTACCGTCACAACAGGTATTGAGGATTTATTTAATTATAAATAAATAACACCAACACCATATAAATATGTTAAATTACTGTTGCAGTCTTTTTTTATTTACTTAATTGTCTGTGTTTTACTGCATTATTTTTATTCATTTGGTGTGGTCGGTTGCTAATAAAATATATTGTATGACATTAGGGAACATTTTGATTTTTAGATTAGTAGACCAATTAGTAAAAACATTATGAAATAAGTTTTATTGTTATAGAAATTATGACACACTGCAGTTACATTGATCAGCCACAAAATTTAAACCACCTGCCTACTATGGTGTTTTACCCCATGCTGCCAAAACCGATCGAATGCATCGAGGCATGGATCCACAAAACCTTTGAACGTGTCCTGTGGTATCTGGCACCAAGACATTCTCAGTAGAGTACATCCTCTGAGGAAGAACTCCTAGACGCACCTGATGAAATACCCTGTCCAGGGAGCATGAACAGCCCTCAAAGAGAGGAAGATCTAACAGCCCCAGCTACAAAAGGGGACATCAAAGCTCTATTAACAAACATAAGAACCTTCTTCAATGCAGACTTGAATATCATACGTGAGGATATAACAGTGGTGACAGCAAGACTGCAGGCTAACGAGGATGCCATCACCTCCCTAGCCCAAAAGCAAGAAAGCACCAACGAGCACTTGCTACAGCTCCAAGCATCACATAAAAGCATGCAGGTCAGACTGGACACCCAGGACGACGCAAGGAGGCGTAATAATCTTAAAATCAGGGGTATAGCCGAATCAGTTACCGAACAGGAACTGCCCCATTTTTTACGCCGGCTATGGACTACCCTACTGCCACAGCGCTCTGCGAAGGGCATTCAGGTAGACTACTGCTACAGACTGGCCAAGTCAAACAGGGCCCCGGCTGGGGTTCCCCGAGACGTCCTGATACGTTTCCCACTACTTCGCGACAAGCTGGCCCTGCAGGATGCTGCAAAATCCAGAACACCTCTTAAGTTCGAGGAAATGCATCTCCAACTCTTACAGGACTTATGCCGCTCCACTCTGGAATGGAGACGGTCTTTTCAACAGGTGACAAAGATCCTAAGCTCTGCAGACATCAGCTTCAAATGGGGGCCCTCTCGAGCTCTAATAGTCCATAAAGACGGGAGCATGCATCAGCTTTCCACCGCAGAGGACTCAGCGACATTCCTGCAAGGACTGGGACTTGCCTTGTCTTCTGACAACACGGCACGTCCAAGCCACAGATGGGACGTCCGCAGGATTGTCCCTTTTATCCCACGCTCTGCAGATGACACCGTCTGAATGAGGATGCACCAGCAGTCACAAGGAACTGGACTGATTCCCACACCAGTACCAGATACCGGTCAACCCCTGATGTTTAAATGTTTAAATGTTATCGTTTTAATATTTCGTTAGTAGGCAGCACCGCCCGGCACTGTTAGAGTTCCCGGGTCATAGATACTACAGATGACCCTAGGCGACCGCACACTTCTTACAACATGTCCCGATTAGAGGACACAGACAACGGAGATTCCCCTCCGCTCACTTCCCCCCCCAACACTCTGGGGTAATTGAGTGTAAATCGACAATCAACACACCCGACTGACCACGGCATTGCCTAAGTGTAAGACAGGACTACTGCTTCCTTACATAAGACCCACAGGGCTGGATCACTCTCCTAGGCCCACGGTCTTGGCACCATTATCACGCCCTCCATTACTTAATGTAACATGTAAACATGTATAAGATAACATACCACAGCGCACTCTTACCTGACACAAGCACTAAGTGTAGTATTCTGTCAACTCGCTAATTGTTAACTACCTTAATTTAAAAAAATGCTTTAATGCTCTCTACTGTGCTAAGGCTACTGAAGTGTGGCATACGAGGGCTGTCGTAACGCAGCACCTGTGTCCTTTTTATATGTTCTAGCTTATGTTGTCTTTATTTTGTTTTCTTATGCTCTGTGGGCAAAACGGAGCTACCTCCAACCAAGAAAATTGCTACCAGTACCCAGTGGCACAATTACAGTATTGTTCAGCATAACAACTCAGCATGTCTATATTAGCTAACAGCTCTATGCATCTCCCCATACGTTACTCACCGTACTACCTTACAATACTTAGCCACATGCCTATGTTTATGCAAAGGTCAGCCACTCTCCCTTCACAGTAGCTCCAGACATCTACTAGTTAGCCTGAAATCTAAGCATACCATAAAATCTTTAAAATGTGCGATATATACAAATGCCATAACCCTGTTTTATATGTTTTGTTATCAATCTGAGTGCAGTCACTGTTGTGGCTTACTGAACACTATGTTATTTCTTTGCCCGCTATAAATAAAGAATTAACCCCTTAAGGACTGGACTGTTTTTGCGATGTTGTACATTTGCGACCAGGCATATATTTACACTTTTGTGGTGTTTGTGTTTGGCTGTAATTTTCCGCTTTCTCATTTACTGTTCCCATACAAATTATATATTGTTTTTTTCAGGACAAAAGGGGCTTTCTTTACATACCATTATTTATATAATCTCATGTATTTTAATTTAAAAAAAATAAAAAAATATGATGAAAAATTGAAAAAAATACATGTTTTTTGACTTTTACTTGAAAAATCTTTTACTCATCTACAAAAGCGAATGAAAAAAACTGCTAAATAGATTCAAAATTTTGTCCTGAGTTTAAAAATACCCAGTGTTTATGTGCTTTTTTGCTTTTTTTTGCATGTTATAGGGCTATAGGTACAAGTAGGATATTGCGGTTTCAAAACATAATTTTTAAAATTTATCAATAGTGACATTGTAACACTATTATCTGTCATAAATCTCTGAATAACACCCCACATGTACATATTTTTTTTAAAGTAGACAACCCAGGGTATTGGGGTATGTCAGTCGTAGGAAAACACTGGCCAAAGTAAGCATTCATATTTGTTTGTGTGTGAAAAAAGTAAAAAAACTAAATTGAACGCTAATTTTGGCCAGTGTTTGTGACCAAGTGGTTACTAAAAAAGACTGGACATACCCCATTTGCAATACCTTGGGTTGTCTTCTTTTGCAAATGGTATGCCATCATGGGGTAATTCTCATTCCTGGGCTACCATACGCTCTCAAAGGCAACGTAACCAACCTGGCCATTTTCAATGTAAAAATATTTGACCCATATATTTGACCTTGTAACTTTCAAAAATGCTATAAAACCTGTACATGGGGGGTACTGTTTTACTCGGGAGACATCGCTGAACACAAATATTAGTGTTTAAAAACTGGAAAACGTATCACAACAATTATATCATCAGTAAAAGTGCTGTTTGTGTGTGAAAAATGCAAAAAAAGTAACTTTCACTGACAATATCATCGCTGTGATATGTTTTACTGTTTTGAATCACTAATATTTGTGTTCAGCGAAGTCTCCCGAGTAAAACAGTACCCCCATGTACAGGTTTTAGGGTGTCTAGAACGTTACAGGGTAAAATACAGTGCTAGTAAATTAAATTCTCTGGAATTTCGGCTTGGGTTGGCAGGCAGGTCCCTCAAATTGCAATCAATAAAATTACTGAATTATGTAAAAATATTACATAAATATGCACGTAGAATTTAAATATATATGCATATTTATATATTTGAAGTCTACGTGTATATTTATATAATTATTTATGTAATTTTGTATATGGACATATGTATATTTCTTATTATTTTTATTTATTTTTATATACATAGATATATATACAAATTCATTCTAAGTGTATTTTGATATAAATATATATATATTAATTTTAAAATACAGTTAGAATAAAATTTCATATAGATATATAATTTTTTTTAAATTTTTATTATTATTTAAAAAAATTATTTAATTTAAATTACTTATTTATATTTTATAATAATATATATATACAATATATATATTATTATATATATTATATATATGTGTGTACTTATTTAAGTGTATTTTTATATTAATATAAGCATATAATATAAAAATACACTTAGTATGATATATATATATGATAATATTATATATATATATAATATATGTCTATATATCATATATACACATATATAATTATTTTTATTTTTTTTTAATTAACACTAACTTTATTTTATTTTTTGATTTACACTAGCAGGGAGACTGCCTGTCAGCACAGGCAGTCCCCCTGCAGGCAGACACATGGACACCTATTGTGACCATGTGATCGCTGTGGTAAGCGATCACATGGCCACAGGGGTCCTAATTCAGTGTGGGGAGACTGTCTGGGCTGCAGGCAGTCTCCCATAAACCGGAGCCGCGCTGATCGCCGCCGGGGGAACGACGGCGATCAGGTAAGTACCTCTGACCGTTAGGACGGTTCAGGACCGTCATCGGTCGGCAATGGGAAAATGCAGATGACGGTCCTGAACCGTCCTGGGTCGGGAAAGGGTTAAAAAATAAAATAAAAAATTAAATACACAAATAACTGAATGCAGCAAAAGGGCCTCTGGACAGGGACGTTTTAGCCACGAGGCAAACAAGGCATTTGCCTTGGGCGGCATTTTCCAGGGGGCGGCAAAAAAAGCCGCCTCCAAATGCCCAGGGCAAATGTTAGCCTTGAGGCTGGCATGATGGGCTGGGCGAGTGGCGCTGGCGGGCGGCTGGCGAGGGAGCTCTTCCTCTGAGCTGTCTGCTCAGCTCCCTCGCGCGCCGCAGAGTGAGGCTGGGAACCGGAATATGATGTCGCACGCAAGGGAGCTGAGCAGACAGCTCAGAGGAAGTGCTCCCTCGCCAGCCGCTCGCCAGCGCCGCCCGCCCAGCAGCCACTGGACCCCCAGGGAGAGAGGGAACCCCCCAGCATTCCCAAAGGTAAGGAGGCCCACCACACCTATTGTGAGTGACTTGGAGCTGACAGTGCCCAGATAGTCTCTGTCTCCTACTTATTGGTAGTTCCATAATGTAGTCCACTGCTCCCACCTTCCAGTTGCCTAAAGCTGTGGAACAGTCTGTAGCTCCTTATCCGTTATATCTCCCTTTACTTTTATCAGTTTCATCTTGGATCACCTTTTCAAATCTCTTGATTCCCTATCAGTCTAGAGCTGCCTCGCCTACAGTTGCATATTCTTCACCATCTCATGTGTCCTTCAAACCATCCCATTTCTCTTATTCACCCTCCTCAAAAGTGACCTGCATCTATAAAGTGTAAATTCTTTTTCTTATGCCTGGCATTATCTGACCTGTTTTAGTTATGTGTATGCTGAGGGGAAGAAAGGAAATTAAATTGGAGGAGGTGAGGTAGGGGAGAGGAAAGAGGCAAAAGTAAGGGCAAGGAGGAGCACAAAGTATGGGAAAGGACTGCCTTGTCTCGGTCATCTAATCCAGTCCCTCTACATGATCCTGTCATCTCTCAATAGGACTTCAAAATCTCCACCCAGGTGATCAGCATCCAATGCAACCAAATCTGCTTCTCCAAAATACAGTTATTTTATGGCCCAAAGATCCTCTTTCTGCAAGAACCATACAGAATTAAGTTATGATTTAGAATACGGATTGTGAGTGACTTTTTATAACATGCCCTATGTCAAGACGAACCAGTTGCCCAACACACAGAAGTAAGTCAAACACGGACAAAATAACAAACACAAACAATGTATTACTGGGCCTTAGAATGGCCGGATTTAAAGTAAAGAATAACCAGTAATAAGCCAAGGTCAGGATGACAGAAAGGAACAA